GGGATCCATTCATTAGCGTTGTCATTAGCAGTCTGACGAAAGGGGCTAAGCAGTGCTGAGTTTGCAGTTCAAATGCACTGGAAAGTCCCCTGCTACACTTCTCTGCTACAGTGGCTTGATGTAACAAAAAGCCCCTGGGAGCATTTATACCAGGCAGCATAAATAGTCCACGTAGAGAAGAGTCATTTAAGGAGTGAGGGCTATTTGCAGAAAAGAAGTATTTTAAAGGAAAAATAGTGATAATTTCTAGGAAGGATTCTGTAGGCACCGGGAACTTTCTATAAATATAGATCTACTGAAAAGTAACTGAATACTGTATATGACAAAAGTATTTTAAAATGAGCAATAGATAACTGTGCACAAGTAATATGGGTTGAGTGTCTCAAGTGTCTTCAAAACACAAATATATTTAAAAATCAAGCCCCAGTTCTTCTACAAGTTAGATCTGATGCTGTCCCCTCTATTTCAGCCTTTTAAACCCAATATAAAAATTGCAAATGAAGTGTTTGCTTTGCCAGAACACGCTCATGCATCTCTGACCATGCAAAATGCTCCTACTGTGCTGGGAGGGGTGTTCTTATTGCACACTTTGATTGCAAAGTTTGCCCTTTCAAGGTTAATTTATTGGAAAGTTTTTCTGTTTTTCTAGTGTCTGGAAATCAATATGAAAGTTAATAAGTTTTGCTTTCATTTTCATCCTTAGTAATCACATGGTTTTGGTTTTTTGTCGTTTTAAAAAGAACCCTACAGAAGTTAACAAAAACCCAACCCCCACACTACAGCAAACAGATGTTGATCTTTCCCCTCTAAACTGCTGCTTAGTACTCTTCTTTATGCTGTCAAAGAACGAGAATGAAAAATCTGGGAAAATCTTGCATATCTTTAAAAGCCAGCTAACTCCATCTTAGTTTACAAGTACTAAAAACGCATTAATCTCTACCTCTGTAGAGGTATAAATTTGTTTTGTTTTGTTTTCAGAGCAGATAAGATTTATTTTAAAAAAATAGCAGCATGGAGATTCTTGTCTTTGCTAGAAACCAAAAAGTAAAAGGAAATCCTAGGTGTCTAATAATTTGTCAGCATTTTGTCATGCTATGACAAACACCGATTTTTATTTTTATTTAAAAAAAAAAAATCACCTCAAATAGTATTAGCTCTGTTTACTCATCTTAATTCCTATTACTCCCTCTTGACACAAGTAACTTCACTCTGCTGAGCAGTACAAACTGTGTAAGAAGATATGCCTTTCAGGGAAAGAAAAACCTTAAGTCTGAAAGTGTTCTTACTATTTCTTGTCTTACTTCCTATGATCCAGAACTAATGAATATGTGTAAGTCAGAGCACAGCCACCCCTCCTTCCAGAGCCATACTTTAACACTCATCTTGCAGAAAGCAACGCGGCCTCAGAAAGTGATTTGAATCATAAATCAAATTTAATAGCAAGCAACTGTATGGGTCATAAAATCCATTCCCAGGGGCCACTGCCCATACATAAAACCTGCAGCTAACCCAGCGCATCTCATAAAAGCCAAACATTTGCTCTTACAGGAAGAAAACAGGAATTTAAAAGACGAATTCCACAGCTGAGTGCTGACCAGCCCCAATTTATTCTGATGCTTAATTTTGCCTAGTTAAAGCAGGGTCTTCACATTTTGCAGTGTATATGAAGACACCACTCAGTGATAACTACATTTTTATAAATAAAGGCTGCATACATCTAATCTGAAAGACCATCCTTTGTGATTAGGTACATGATTGTTAAATCCGGTTACAAACACACGTTACACTGTAAAACCACACAGATGGTGTCAGACTGGACTGTGCTGAAGCAGACGGTTTGTATATGCAGATGATGCTCAGACATCACATACTACTTTCTGATACCCTAAACAGTGAGAGAGTTTATTTGAGAGCTAAAGTTGATTTTAAGGGCACTAGATGTGGAAGCATCATTTGCAAACATCTGCTATTTTAACTTAATATTAGTTTATTAAGGACTAAGAATTTGAAGTAAATATACTACAGGCTAAAGAGGTGAAAGTGGAAATCTAAGTCCAAAACCTAGTTTTGCTTCCATATATAACTGTGTTTACATTGACAAGTCACCTAATATCTCTACTAAAATGGAAGCAATGCCCTTGCCTCTATTCCCAAAGGAAGTAGAGGGAAGATTGATGTGGAACTGTAGTGTTATAAAAAGAAATAAAATGCTGCAGGAGTACAGGTGTTTTGCATAACTAACAATAGCAAAGGGAGAATTATACAACTACCATGTGGTGAGAAATCGATGGTTACATACCTACATTTCCATCACAGAGATGCTGATGAGATTGTCATGATAATTCTACATAGTTCTTGCCTGCACTTTCTACTGTATGTTATGTCATTTTGTATAAAAGTTATGTTTGTCTGTGCTGCCCTTGCTGGCTTTTTTGCTTACACATTAAGTTAAATTCTCAACAAATTTTTAGGAAGAGAAACATCTTGTTTTTATTCATTTAAATAATTTATGCCTGACATGTTCCTTGGAATATTTACATTCTCAGATTTGATCTTAAAAATTGAGTGTAATTCTAGGGAACAATCATGCTGTATTTTAAATTCACTCTCACTCTACTGCCTGTTTTCTTAATCTGTGATTATTTATCCTCTTCAGTGAATTTCTAGGAGAAACTCTTGTTATATCTGTTAGTAGTCTGAATAAAACATATCAGGCACTTTTCACTTTTTTCATGAAGCATTCAAGCAACAACAGTAATGTGATAAGAGAGAACCCTTTCTTTTCCATGTTACAAAGAAAGAAAACCCACACAAAAACCACCACACACAAACAACCAAGGTTAAAAGAAAATTTATTTTGTGGCTTTCTTTAAAATGATATGACCTAAGAGTCCTAATTCATTAGTGGCAAAACTCAAAGATCTGGAAAATTCTGTATAATTTCCTTATTGTCTGCTGTGACTTACCATTAGTCTGTTTTGTTATGGAAATTACTTCACAACCCACCACGACAGGCAGTAACACACTCATTAATCTAGGAGGTAGCTACTACCATTCGGATATTTACTTATAACGAGCTAAATGATATGAAGTGAGAACACAGTCAGAAGCCTGCGTTTTCCAACTTTAAAGGCAAATGTCAGATAAGAGATTCTTGACAGGTAGCAAACTTCTCTATTTAGCAATCATTTTAATGTACTGTTGATATTGTTTAAGCAGTTACACAGTCAGCTGTGCCCCCACTAATGGATATGTATCCAGATAGTATTTGTAGATATGACCTGGCTCTAAAGGCATCTGAAATTACAGGCTACCCACCTGTCTTCAGAGTTCATTGCATAGAAGATTATAATCTTCCTCACCTTGCTTTGAGCTAAATGGAAAGAGCTATATCAAGAATAAAGAGACTGTTCTAATGCTAAATCACTGTATTCCTGATGGCAATGTCGTGTAACATTCTATTAACAATCTACGGAGGCAGTTTCATTCTGCAGTTGTAGGGGAGAACAAAGCAGTACTTGAAAGAAGTAATGCCCCTTTCATTTGATCATAAATTTGCAACTGCAGTCTTGATTTTAAAGAAACTTGAAACTTTGTGCCTAAATTGATTTTGATCCATAAGCCTTCAAAGGCATAATAAGAAGCTGAATCTAAAGCCAGACCTTTTAAGCGTGATACAAAATACTTGACCCTGCAAAAATGTATTATTGCATCAAAGAAAAAGCATATAAGGTTAATATTGTCACTTGAGTTGTAGGAAACAGATTAATCTCTTATTTCAAAGTGTTTGGGGTTTTTCTGTG